CCCCTCTGGGAGGTCAGTTCTAACCAGTACCCAACACCCACAGCACAACCGGCTGAGATGTTGGTGATGTTCACCATCCAGAGGTCCCTTTGAAAGGCCACAGCCCGGGAAAGCCTTGTTAACCTAATGGAAGGTTCCCAGGCCTTAACCATCTGGCCACCCAGGGATTAAGGTTATGGGGCATCTCTACACCTGGGAACTCTCAGAGTCATCCACAGAGTGGGCATGAGCCTCGGGTCAGCTACCTCCCGCTGTGGAGTCAGTTACCTTTACGGGGAAGAGCTTTTGCTGTACATGGAAATTTCATGAAAACCTTCAGGTTCTCCGCTTTCCTGGATTTCTCACAAGACCTTCTGGTACCCCACCGGAGGCCTTCATGAAGAGGCCTCTTCCGTGTCTTCCGACCTCCTCAGCCAAGCTAGTGCCCTCTGCACCTCCCTGGAGCCGGATGCCAGCCCGGAGCAGCTTCACCTCACTGGTTTCTAAGCCTTTTTATTAAAAAAAAAGAAATTTTTAAGCCTTTTCTTTTTCCCCAGTAGAAAAATTCCCTTTTCCAACCTAATTCATGGCTGAAAGAAACACCATGATATAAAGAATATGCTACTAGCATCACTGATTAATTGACATTGATAACACATACTTCTTAGAAAGCTGATGAGTAAGAACAACGAGATTCATTTGAAAAGCCCCAACTGGACCTCGGGAGGTCAGCAGTCTTGGGCTCTGGTTAGGATCAACTCTGGTGCTTGGTCCTGCATGGAGAAGTCCTGGCTGGTCCACAGGGGTCGGGATAGATTGTCTCCATCAGCCTGGCTTCCAGAGTGCTTCAGTCTGTCTTCAGTGGGAGGTGAGGGGAGGCGATCTCCCCATGGCCAGCACTAAGGGTGTCACCCAGTGCTGGGGGCCAGGCTGGCGGAGGGCTTCCTGGGGTCAGTGTGTGCTACTAATGATAGAAGAGCATGTGTTTCAGGAAGTGCTAACATATCTGTGGTTTGTTTTGGTATGTTGTTTTGTTTTTTCTTTTCTGAAAGCAAAATCTCTTTCTTTAAATAGAACATGCATCCACACCAGCCCAGCAGCCATGGGGTTGGGCTTGGGCTCATGGGGACCCCCTAGCGTTGGCAGCAGCTGGTTTGGGGGAAGAAGCTCTGTGAGACTTTCTTCTGATAACCAGGCTCTCCTGGGTGGACCTGAACCTCCAACATTTTGTTGAACAGCCAAGCTTGTTAACCATTTGCATCATCAAGGGACTCCACAGGAGATGTGTTGTAATTATATGCTGTTGTTAGGTGCCACCAAGTCAATTGTGACTCATAGCAACCCACTAACAGCAGATCTGAACGTTGTCCTGTCCCGTCCTCAACATCTCTGAGATAAACAAACCCATTGTTACAGTCACTGTGTCAATCTGTCTTGTTGAGGGTCTTCCACTTTCTCAGACCCTCTGCCTTTTCCAGAATGATGTCCTTCCCCCAAGTCTGGCCCTCCTGACAACATGGCTAAAATATGTAAGGGGAAGTTTCACCAGCCTTGTCTCTAGGGAGCATCCTGCCTGCACTTTCTTCAACACAGACTTGCTTGTTCCTTCTGCAGTCTGTGGGATATTCTATACTCTTCTCCAATACAGCTCAAAGACATTGAGTCTTCCTCTGTCTTCCTTATTCACTGTCCAACTTTCTGATGGACAAGTTTAACTGAAAAGACCCTGGATGGCTCGGATGCACCTTAGTCTTTAACTGATACATTGCTCTTTAGCACTTTGCAAATGTACAAATATACAGTTCAATGAATTCTCAACTAAATGCGAAAATCAACTATCTGAGGGTCCTTGAACATTCTGGAGTGTTCAAAAGCTGCAGTTCAGAAACCTCCATGAAGGAAGGAAGTTGTGGTTGCTGAGCTGGGGCCCCCAGGACCTGCTAGGTTTCCATACAACGGAAGTTTGCATTCAAGGGAGAAAAGTTTACTTTTCACTCTGGAAGGTGGGTGGCCCAGGGAGCCTGCCAGCTTCAGCGCCCCTGTCGTCTCACACCCTGGGGTTCTTGAGTGGCCTGGCTGGACACGCAGGCTGAGGGCTGAGCATCTGGATGTGTCATAGAAGGCTGCATTTGCTGTCGCATGAGGGGCGTCAGGCCCAGCTGTGTTCAGGACCATTTGTTTCCGGCTGGGCCTGTGTGTAGCCAGCCAGGCGGCCTGCCTGTGGGGAAGGCCGGCAGCTCCAGCCCAGCCTGCCCAGAGGCCCCTGCTGGGTGTTCACAGGCCAGATTCAGAGACACCCACGTGCCATCACTAACCTCATCTCCACTTGGTTTTCTCCTCAGGAAGATGGGAGGCCAGGCACCTTCCCCCACCGCCAGGGTCTCCCGGGGAGAACGGCCCTCAAAGGCAGGTGAGCCAAACCCCAAACCTGCTGCCATGAAGTTGATTCCAGCTCACGGGCACCAGGGGCCTCAGTTAGTGCTGTGCTCAGGCTTGATTTACAGCTGTGACCTTGCACAGACCAACGGGTCTCTCTTCTGAGGCGGCTCTGGGAGAATGCAAACTGCTAACACTTTAGCATTTGCCATTTTGGTTATTAGCATCTTGTAACCTTGTATAGCACTCTGGGATCCCTCAAAGATGATACTAAAAAAAATCCCTCCAAGACGATACCAGAAAGTTCCCAAACCTCTCCTGTCAAGTCAGCCCCACCTCCCAGTGGCCCACGTGTCACAGAGTAGGGCTGCTTCAAAGGGGGGACGGGGGTCCTCCCCTCATCGCCCATCCTCCTGGGGTGGCAGGAGTGCAGCCCAGCCAGGACCCCCCGGCCCACTTCACCAAACCGAGGAAACACGGCCTGGGTGCTCATTCAAGGCCAGGATGGTAAGACTTCGTGTCACATGCCGTGGGCATGCCGCCGGGGGACTACCCCAGTAAAGGACATCATGCTGACAAAGGTAAGAGGGCCCAGACAAAGAGAGGAGGGTCCCCCATGAGATGGACTGTGCACTGGTTACAGCAACAGCACTGAGCGTGTCGGAGACCGTGAGGAAGGCCCGGGTCGGGCACGGTTCTGCTCACAGCGTGGCCACGAGTCCTGGTCGACCTGATGTACTTAACAACATGAACCCACGGGGCAGGGGTCACATGGGACCGGCCTCAGGCCCCAGACCAGCACCCTTACCTGCTCACAGGCTTCCGGCTGCTCCGCTGTCCTCCTCTCACACCCTGTGCCTCCGGGTCCCTGCAGGGCACGGAGCCTCCGAGGGCTGAAGAAAGGACAGCCCCAAACCAAAAGGGCTGGAGAATGGACAACCCAAAACCAAAACCGCGATTCCTGGTGACACCGTGTGTTTTCCTTAGGACTGTCAACGCCTGGCCTTTGTGTTTGGTTTTTGGCAGCTCCATACCAGGCTTTCTTCCATGGCGCAGCTGGGAGGATTCGAGCTGCCAACCTTTTGTTTAATAGCTGCATGTAAATCACTAGCACCACCCAGGGGCAAGGGGACAGCGAAGGTGCAATGCTAGCAACAGGGAACAGGTTTATCTGTCACCCCTACCAGCTGACACTGTTTCTTATGAAATGGACCTCTGGCCCAGGGAAACAAGAAACCAAGATTATTCTGTACTCTTTTAAACATATCCTACACTGTCTTCTAAATTAAGGCAAAAATTGTCTGGACAGGACAAAAGCCGGGACAAAAATTTCCTAGTGAGGAGAAGCATTTGCAAGAGCTTGAAGGGATTCCACCAACTCCCTGCTTTCTTTTCTAAGACTCTGAGCTCCTACAAGGCGCCCAAGCCCTTGCCTGGGATGCATGGGCAACTTCCAATGAAAAGCTCCTGGGACACCCCAGAAGCAGTTCTGTAAGCACTCGGTGTCACACTCGGCTGTGTGTCAGTTGGAGCTGTGACTTCTGGTCACAGTTAAGGACACCCTAGGTCAGCTGCCTGGCTATCTGCTAAGACCTTCAACCACACCTGGACTTTCCGCTGCGTCCTTCTTGAGGGCAAAGCCCCAGCAGGTCAACTATTAGAAGCAAAGTCATCTAAGACTGGGAGAATCGGCATTGAGTTAGGTCTTCACCACAGGCCTCAGCATTCCACAGCCTGGTGCTGCAGATTTTAAGGTCTAATGTGCCTTTGGACTATACTTGCCCAAAGCAACTTGGATGAGAACAAAGCTTCTTTTTTTTTAGCTTTATTATTATTATTAATTTTAATGAAAATTTAGAGATTTTGGATTTCCATTCATTCATTGTTGCACTTTTCTCTCTGTCCACCCCTCCCCTCCAGTTCGCTCTTCTCTTTGAAAAGTAAAATTCTTTCATTGTTACACAATCTCTCCCCGCCAAGTCCACTCCACTATGGAGAACAAAGCTTCTCAAATGTGAAAGAGCACGTGGGGCTATTCCACTAGCAAGCTGACCTCATGAAGGGCTGCGTTGGAGAGTCTGGGGTCCTGCACCTCTAACCAGCTCCCAGGTGATGCTTCTTGTGGTTGGACCACACTTTGCACACAGCCTGGAAGATTCTAGATCCCAGCCCTGTCCCATGGCATCTGTTTCTTGTAAAGGGGGGGGGGAGGAGTGATCCCAGGTGACACTTGTATTGTGAAGAATTACTGTCTGGTGTGATGGTTAAGCTTCGTCAGTTGGTTTAGCTAAGTGAAGGCACCTGGTCAATCACTGGGTGTGGCTGTGAAGGTAAGAACAGTTGACAGATATTTACAGCCAGTTACTATTCTCAGTGATGTGCGTGGGCCTCACCCAATCCATTTAGGGCCTGATGAGCAAAAGCAGGTTTCCCAAAGAATAAGGAATTTTACCCCACAGGAGCTTGGTCACGTAATCCCTAGTGAGTTGCCTGGATAACTCAGAGGCAGCGGTTCAAATCCACCAGCAGGTCCGTGGGAGAAAGGAAGGCAGCGTCCTTCATCACCATTTTCATTGCCTTGGACACTTGCCCGAGGGTCATTATGAGCCAGCACCGACTTGACTGGCATGAGAACTCAAGACAAATCCTGTCCTCAAGGCCGCCAGACTGTCCAGCCTGCCATCACCCTCATAACGGAGTCAGTTCCTTAAATCTGTGTCTACCATACTGGTTCGACTTCATGGAGAACGCTGACTAAATACACCTGGGTTTAGAGGCGCAGCCTCTCCTCGTTAATCTCTACATTCACCTGGGCAAGTAACTGCGAAGACCATGGCCTGGATTAGGCTCACCTTAGTCTCCAGACTGACATCATAGTTTTTAGCACTTTGGAGAGGTCCCGGATAACAGACTTACCCAATGCAGTTAGGTTTTTTTTATTTTCCTGGCTAATGGTTCTCAATCTCGTCTCCATCTATCATGGTGCTGCCAATTGGCTGAGTGATGAGAATCTGTTTCCTTGATGTTGAGCTTCAATCCATATTGAAGACTACAGTCCTTGACCTTCTGCAGAAGATGCTTCAGATTCTCCTCAGTTTCAGTGGGCAAGGTTATGTCCTCTGCATAACACAGGTTGTTGATGAGTCTTCCTCCAATCCTGATGTCACATTCCTCCTCATAAAGCCCAGCCTCCGAATGATTTGTTGAAGATAGGATGCATCCCTGACGTACTCCTTTTGCGATTTTGAATCATGCAGTGTTTCCTTGCTTTGTTCTGATGACTCCTTCTGGGTTCAATATAGCTTTCACACAAGCACAATCAGGTACTGAGATTCCCAATCTTCTCAAGCGGAGCCACAACTTTGTGTGACCCACGTGGTCAAATGCCTTTGAGTAGTCAATGAAACACAGATAGACATTTCTCTGGTAGTCTCTACTTTCAGCCACGATCCATCTGATGTCCCTAGCACCATGGCCTCTTCTACACTCAGCCTGTACTTCTGGTAGTTCTCTGTTAATGTTCTATTCCAGTCATTTTTGGATAATCTTCAGCAAGACTTTGCTTGCATGTGATATTAGTGATACTGTTTGATAATTTCCACACGCTGTCGGATCACCCTTTTTTGGAATGGGAATAAATATATCTTTTCCAGTCAGCTGGCCAGGTGTCTGTCCTCCAGATTTCTTGGCACAACCTGGTAAGCACATCTAAGGCACTCCTCCCATTTTCATACAAGCAAGTGAATGGATATCATTTTACAGAAAGAAAAAGAGGGAAATACAAATTAAACACTGCATGCTTAACTGTAAGCTAAAACTCCACTCTATGACTATTTCCCTACTTGGAGAGAAAAACCAAAGTTGAGTAGGTTGCGCAAGGTTTCTGCGTGGTGCAACCAGTAAACCTGACTACTATCCAAAAGATGGTGGTTCAGACCCATCCCATGGTGTTGAGCAAGAAAGGTCTGCTTATCTGTCCTGTCAAGATTACAACCAAGAACCCTCCTTCTCCTCTGTTACACATAAGGTTACCATGGGTCAAAGTCAACTCCAAGGTAGCGCATTTTTGTTTTAAACACTGTACAGGACATGATCTTGATAAAAAAAAAAACAACTTTATTTCCAGCGTGGTTTTACAGCCTAGCTTCTAGTTTAATAAGATGTCCTCTGCAGTTGGCCAAATCAATATTTTATTTAAAAATAAACCCGTACACACACAGAGTAACAGAAGCTGCAGACTTGAGGCATGCTGTCTGGGGAGAGGTTGGCCACCCAGGGCATCTACAGCCCTGCTTCGCTTGAAGAAGCACGTGTATTTTCCAGAGCATGTCAACAAGCTGGCGAAGTTAAGAGGTGACGTGTTTTTATAGAAGACTTAAGGCAGCTCACTCCAGAGGAATGTGAAGGAGAAGCAGACTCACTCATGAGTTTCTGGAAATTTCTTGTATTACATGGGCCATTGGGACCTGAGGTGGGTCTAAGAGCAGCTGGGGAGGGACCAGATTTATCGGGGGTGGGGGACGGGCTGCTTTGTTTTCTGAGACAGGGGGAGGAATGGTCTCTAAGGAGACCGGAAAAGAGGCTGACCAGCCCTGGGCATGGGCACCCTGGAGGGCAGGAGGAAAGTGGCAGGGCCTGTCCCCTGCCCACCAGCCTGGGCAGGATGTTGACACAGGAGCACAGCATCAGCGGTCTTCCTCAGGTCACTCACTCGCTCGCCGGTCCTCATGTCCCGCAGAGCCTCCTCATGGCTGTCCTCACACGGCTGCATCTTTGGGAGGAAACGGCAGGGCAGGTCAGCTAGCTGGGGACACTCAGAGCCACACACCAGAAGGCTGGACCCCAAGCTCAGCACTGTACACCCCCCCCCCAACCCCGTCCCAGTTTTCTGTGGAAGTCTTTGTTGACTAACCCATCCAGGACCCAGGGAACAGGTGGTTCCCGCCAACACGTTCCTGGGATGCAGCTGTCACAGCTGTAGTTTGTGCTGCTGCCTGTCAGAGGCCTGTATAGCTAGAGTCTGCCAGGCGAGTCCACCTGGGATGGACATGTGTGACACGATTGTGTAAACACTTATTATATTACCAAGAAAACACTCCCCCTTAACTTCAGCATGCCTTCTATTATTGAAAGCACATAGCAACAACAACAACAACAACAACAACAACAAAATATAAGGCAGAAACAATTTGGCCACAGAATTATTCAAATACTTGTCTGAAGCAATGAAATGTAGCCGAAATGAGCACCTATCCCAACTCCTCCCCCCTTTTGGTCTCCGAGCGACCCCCATCGAGTGCCTTGCACGGATTCTTCTGGCGAGCTCCTCCGTTACTGTGAGTAGGATAATCACACCAATATCTCTCCACTTCAGACATGACCTATTAATGTCTTTCCCCCACAGCCTATTATTTTTTATTTCTCACTCACATTTAAAAAAACCGTTTTACTAAGAAAATTCACATACCCTATAATTCACTCACTTAAATGTACAACTCAGTGGCTTTTAGTATCTATTAGTGGATCTGCTACCACAATTTTATCTCATTTTCATTTCAATCTGTATTCGGAACAGACCATTCGGGAGGCTGGGCTCGATGAGGCGGAATGTGGCATCAGGATTGGAAAAGACTCATCAATAACCTGTGTTAAGCAGTTGATACAACCTTGCTGAAACTAAGGAGGGCCTGAAGCATTTGCTACAGAGGGTCAAGGCCTGTATCTGCAATATGGATTGAAGCTCAATATCAGAAATGCATATTCTCACCACTGGGCCGATTGGCAGCATCATAACAGATGGAGAAGAAATCGAGATAGTTAACAATGTCAGCTTGCTAAGTTTTACAATCAACACTCTTGGAACCAGCAGACAGGAAATCAAAAGATTAATTGCATTAGGAAAATCTGCTGTCAGGGACCTCTCCAGAGTGCCAAAGAGCAATGAGGTCTAGCAACTAAGGTGCACCTGATGTAGGCCATGATCTTTGCAATTACCTGGTATGCATCAGAGATCTGGACAATGACCAAAGAGGACAGAAGAAGAATTGATGCCATTGAGTTGTGGTCCTGGAGAAGAATATTGAACATACATGGACTGCCAAGAGAACGAACATTTCTGTCCTGGACAAGGTGAAGCTAAGCAGTCCAAGAATTTTGAGGCTCTGTCTCATCTACTTTGACAATGTTGCCAGAAAGGTCCAGTCCTTGGGGAAGGACATCATGCTTGGAAGGGTGGAGGGAGAGTATAGGAGAGGCCCTGGATGAGATGGATTGGCACAATAACTGGGGTAATAAAGGTAGGTGTGTCTGAGACAGTGAGATTGGCCCAGGATAAAGCAGAGTTCAGTGCTATTTGCATAGGGTCCTTTGAGTTCTAGTTGAGTAACAACAACATTATATAAAATAAACATCTTGTGCTCTTTAGCTATTATCACTGTTTTATATCACCTCTACCCTCTAATCTTCTACCCTTATCAGCCACTAATTGAGATTTGCCTGGTCTGGACATGCCCAGGGAATGAGACCATACAATAGATGGGATTCTGTGGCTGGATTCTTTCCTTTTTAATTTTTTTATTATTTTTGTGTGTGTGTGTACCGTCAAATCAGATCTGACTGGTACAGGAGGAGATTGCCCCTCCTTCTCCAGTAGAGGGAATTAGAACCGTGTACCTCTAGGATTGCAGTGTAGCTTCTTGCCACTAGGCCACCAGAGCTCCCTAGATTCTTTCATTTAATTTTTCATTTAATATCCCATTAACTTGTAGCCAATGACTGTTAGAAAGAAACAAAACATCCTGCTTTGCCAGCCTTTCTGGATGATTGCTGTGCACCATCAGGTCAGAACCAACCCATTGCTGACCTTCCAGTGGGTTCTCAGAGGCGGTCAATTGCACAGGAAGAGAATGCCCATCTTTCTTCCAGAGAGGAGCTGGTGTATTTGAACTGTGTGCCTTTGAGACTGCAGTGCAGCTTCTTACCACTAGGCCACCAGAGCTCCTTTTCTGTTGGGTAACACTGATAATACATCCAACATCTTAGTGTACATACCCTGATATACGCACATCCTCTGATACGTACCAGGGATGTAGATGGGGACTTAAGAACATAGAAACAAAAAGATCAATGGATAAACAGACAATAAAGAAGAGCAAAGAAGAACTGGGGCCTTTGGATTATGATGTGTTGGTGAAGAACAGTGAATACACCATGAGCAATCAAAAGAAGAAACAGCTGACTTAGAAGTGGAGTCAGAATATCTCTTAGAAGCAAGGATGATGAGACTTCTCCTCACAGGCTTAGGGCATCCTGTCAGGAGGGACTGGCCTCTGGAGAAGGACACCATGTTTGGAAAAGTCGGTGGTCAGTGAAAAAAGGAGACCCTCAACAGGATGGAGTGACCTGGGACAGCAACAACATGCTTGAGCATAGAAAGACAGTGAGGAGGGGAGCTCTGGTGGCCTAGTGGCAAGGAGCTACAACTACAATCCCAGAGGCTCACGGTTCGAATCCACCAGATGCTCTGCCGGGAAAGGAAGGACAATTTCCTCCTGTACCAGTTAGATCTGATTTGACGGTACACACACACAAATATATATATATGTATATATATGTGTATATATATGTATAGAAAGACAGTGAGGGTCGCAGCCGGACTGCGGAAGGTTCATTCTATTTACTCTGTTGCACTGAGGGTTGCTGTGGATCGACTCACAGACCGTTAAGAACAATGACACAAGAGTCTTAGACTTAAGGATGTTCACTGAACACTATGTAACAGCAAAGGGGGGAGGGGCAAGCATGACAAAACCTACCTTAATGTTTCCAAATAAAGTATTTATGCAAACTGTAGCACAGTCAGGCAACAAAACATCACAGAACTATGAAGAACGATGAAGAAAAACAACACTGGTGACATGTTTGCTATGTGGTAACATTTAAAAAGTTATAAAAACTGTGCATAAAGTCTGATTCCTTGGATAAAAATATCCTTAAATAGTTCCAGAGGGGAAGCACTGGGCGGGATAGGCATTCAGGTGCTATTTCTAGAAGGGGTGATGACAGATAGTTTTTATTTCTAATTTTTTTTCTTCTCTGCCTTGTTTTTTTTTAAACTGCCCTACATTTTCTTTTTTGCCATTAGGAGAAGGAGGGTCATCAGGAAATGCTTAGCTGCCCGCACACCTCTGCGTAGCCCCATTCACGGTGGCCAGGATGGGGGGAGTGACTGAGGGGCCCACCACCAACCGAATGGACTAAGAGAAGGGGAAGGGACACACACTAGGATAATACGAGGCCAGGGGAGATGTTTTGACACGTGCCACAGCATGGATGAGGCTTGGAAAGACAGTTCTACGTGAAGTTAGCCAACTATACAAGGACAAGTATTCCATGACCCCATTCATTTGAAATAGCTGGAAGAAGCAACATGCACAGAGACCAAAAGTGTCCATCGTTATGAGCTGCAGAAATCAGGGAGGGGGAAACTGTTTAGGGGGCCGTGGAATTGGGGAAAGGGTTGCATTGGGATAATGGCTGCACTGGAGCTATGGTGGCCTAGTGAGTAAGAAGTTGCTTTGCCAACGTCAAAGCATGAGGTTCAAATCCACCAGTGACTCCATGGAAGAACGATGGGCATTCTCCTCTTGTGTGATTTACAGCCTCTGAAAACCTGCTGGAGGGTCAGCTATGAGTCGGTTTTGACTCGACAACACCCACAACAACATAACAATGGTTGCATGACATAATTAAAAACAGCACATATCATCTAGAACCTAAAACTCACCTCAACGCTACAACCACTGACCAAGGTAGATGAAAGATGCAGAAAACGAGAGTCCAGCAGTTTAGCAAAGTCCCTTATCATCACTGAGCTGCTATGTGGTTTGCTAGATATACTATCACCAGGAGGAAAGAAGTCAGACACTGAGCCTGCGGGCAGGGATCCGAGCAGGGTGCAGGGGTCTCGTTTTCTGCTGCCCAGTCCCCAGGCCCTAAACGACTCACATGTTCGCAGTGGGCCCGAGCACAGCCTCCCTGTTGCAAGACCTCCTCCTCGAGGATCTGCCCTTTCAGAAGCCCTCTGTGGGCACGCGAGGCCACTCACCTGCTGACTGTTTGACACAGGAGATCTTGTAGGACATCCACAAGCTCAGCATACACAGCACGGTGGCCAGGAAGCCGAAGATCTACACAGGAGAGAGGGAGGGGCTGGTGGCAGGCGCTCTCGTCTTCTGCGGTTCTCTGGTCCCCTGCCCTGACCGTGACCAGAAGGAACCTGGGGAGTCCTTTAGACCCACCACCTCAACCTCCTCTGGTGCCCAGGTGAGGCCCCGCAGATCAGTCACTGATGCTGGGCCCCGTGGCTAGGCTGGGATGGCCAGCAGTCGCTTCTGGCTCTCCACTTTCCGTTCTCCCCACAGAAGTCCTGATTCTCGAGTGGGAAAATGTCTACATGAGCTTCCTACTTGGAAAGGTGGAGAGAAGCAGGAGTACTTAGAGGCGTAAGGAAAGCTCTGGCTCTTTGCTCAGCTCCTGCCTGTGGAAGGGTTCGATCTTCGGGTCCTAACACTATCCCCTCACCCCCAGTGTCCTCTGCATGTCACTGCAAACCAGCACCGTGTCTAGATTCTTCAGAGACTTGATCCAGGCCCTGCAAACTCTACGAGTGTCCCACATTATGTGTCTTCAGTTTGAAATGATAGAGAGATATTGGTTCTAGGATAAATAATGACAGAAACACGTCTTAGATCTTCTTCTGTATCAGAGATCAGCCCACTTCAGCTGCAGGGCCAGATCACCATCTGGTTTTGTAAATAAAGTTTTATTGGAACACAGCCGTATCTATTTGCTTCTAGTTTGTGGATGGGTGCTTTCGTGTTCTGATGGTCTCCTGAATGGCCAGCAAGATACAGACTATAGGTGGTATTCCCTGGTCTGTCTTTGCCTGTCTCTCTCTTTCTCCAGACCAGGGAATCCTGCCTGGGAGACCCCTTAATAAAGCTTCTTTAGATGCTCTGCCGGGGAAGGAGGGGCAATCTCCTCCTGTACCAGTCAGATCTGATTTGACGGTACACGCACACAAAAATAAAAAAAAAAAAATAAAAAAGCTTCTTTAGCTTAAAAAAATAAAATTATATATATGTATGTATATATATATGTATGTATATATGTATATGTATATGTATATATATAAAATAAAGAGCTCTGAGGGTGCAGTCTGAAGTATGGTGAGCTGCTAACCACTCACAAGGGACTGTAAAGTTCAATTTGCATTTTAAACATGAAAGTAGATTTTATTGGGGTAGCACGATTTGCATTTCATCTGTAAATTTTATCTGGCCTTGCCCAGAGGTGCACAGTTCAAATCCACCAGATGCTCTGCCGGGGAAGGAGGGACAATCTCCTCCTGTACCAGTCAGATCTGATTTGACGGTACACTCACACAAAAATAATAAAATAAAA